TTGGTCTAGTGGAGGTAATTGGCAGTAGGCGGTCTCTCAAGTACCCAGGTCCAATACCATGAAGGGCTTTGTAGGTGACAACTACAAGCTGAGCAATTTCAGCCCCCTTCCCCTTCCAGTGGTATCTCTGAAATAAATACAATGTTGTGTGGCTCCTCTTCAGAGGTTTGGGAAGCTAAGTTGCAGTCTTCACCCCTCAGTGGTTGCCCACTTGTCAAAAGATGCCTTCAAGATTTGAGGAGTCATCTATATCGAAGAGAGTTGACTTTTCATATTCTGCCTTCTTGCTTCTCCAGACCTGTTTTCATAAAAATATATATTTCTTGTATTTTTATACAAGGCAAATAACCATCCCATGTTATGTGTAATAAGTAGTTTGGCTCAACGGGAGTTTCAATAGGGGAAAATGAGATCTCTGCTGATTCTGATCTGATGCTTAGAGAACCTCTGGAATATAAGCCAAATTCAAAAGTCCTTGTTATGCCTTTAAGGAAGATTTGGATTTTTCACTTAGCAACGAGGAACAGCTTTATTCTATACTCCATAACTTTGGGTAAAAAGAAGTGTCAAAATGCAAGAACAAAATGGGGCTACCTTAAATGCTGAATCCTTGCTTTAATAGGGCTTCCATCAGTAATGCTACTGCAGTGTCACTAGCAACAATTAAATGTGGCCCCTGACAATCCCATCTTGTTTTGCCTTTAGGTTTGTGCATGCCAGGTACGTGCTACAGGGAAGATGTACGCTTGCAAAAAGCTGGAGAAGAAGCGCATCAAGAAGCGGAAAGGGGAAGCGATGGCTCTGAACGAGAAGCAGATCTTGGAGAAGGTCAATAGCCGATTTGTGGTGAGCAAACCGGCTTCTCTAGCATTTGCTAATGCTATTTGGCTCGGCATTCTGAGTGGAATTTCACAGTATCCGATTCAGCCTGGTTGATTTAGCTGTAGTTATTGCCCTTGATAATTAAATGAAGCTTCTTGCATTCAAAAGCAATGGCCAAGTGTCTTTTAGGGACAGCGCAGCCCAGTTTTAATGTCTGTCTTCTCCAGATATAACTGGGCAAATAATGTTGTACCAAAATACACTTCCAATTCCTAGAAATTACTTGACCCGTGTGACTTTTAAAGTAGCCCTGTCATTTTTCAGGCTTCACTCACCTGAAAAAAAATTGTGGCTGTTTTAATTAGTAGCAGCTAGACTTGCATTCTGGAAGACTTCAACAGATTCATTTTCAAAGCATGCGTAGCTCTGTCAAATAAGAAAACAAGGCAGCTCCCTGTATTCCTGAACTATTGAATGTCACATGTTTGTGGAATGGGAACAACAGAAGGAAGATGATTATTATTTATGTGTTTCTGGGTACTTGGACATTGTAGAAGCAGAATTCTGGAATATACTTGGAGTCAAGCCCTCCTTCTTTTCATCTGTGCCAACAGGTCAGTTTAGCTTATGCATATGAAACCAAGGATGCTCTGTGCCTGGTCCTCACAATCATGAATGGAGGTGACCTGAAGTTTCACATCTACAACATGGGCAACTCGGGTTTTGACAATGAGCGGGTCATCTTCTACGCTGCAGAGATTTGCTGTGGCCTTGAACATTTGCACCGGGAGGGCATTGTATACAGGTGAGTGGGGATGGAGTTATTTCCTGGTTCCAAGAAGGTAGAGAAAGGGCTAAGGCAAAGTCTCCCTTGTTACATAGTTGGCATGATGGAGAAGTGATCATCATCCTTCATCTAATTAAGTGTTGCGTTATCTGAATGGCAGAGGGAATCAACTGCTAAGCCAACGTCACTCTGCCTGGCACACTCCATGTGGATTCTTTAGGAGTTGTGACCAACAATTTCAGAGGGAGAGACGTACTGAACCATAATGGATTATACAAAAGGATCCAGTTGTCTCTATAACCCTTTCGAATGCCAAACCTAGCTTGGTCCTGTATCTCTCTGAGATTTAAAGTAGCACTCACTGGATAACAGTCACCTACCTGTCATTTGATGTCACTGACCAAATGAATCATCATAGACCTAAGCTTGAAATCAACTATCCATCTGTAGATCTTTGCAAACACCTACCATGTTTCCCCAAAAATAAGACAGGGTATTATTTTCTTTTGACACCTGAAATAAATGCTTGGCCTTATTTTGGGGGAGGTTTTATTATTTTTGAGGTGCAGGAGGCAATGAGCATGGTCACCTCATGGCTTCTGCTATGTTGCAATATTTTTGGAGAGGG